ACTTCAGATTCTGGTTCTAGTTCCTCTTCCTTTCTTTTCCTCTCCTTCTAAATCCTCTGTTTTCCCTTAACCGGTACCTAACAGACTCATTTGCCCTTCTCTTGTAGTGTGTCTAGTACTTCTTGTTGTTTTGAATTACTTCATATTGATACTTGGGGACCTTATAAAGAACCCACTTATAAATGCCATCGATATTTTCTTACTATTGTCGATGATTTCTCTAAATGTACTTGGATATTCTCAATGTTGAATAAAAATGACAGTATTCAATGCTTGCAAGATTTTATTACTTATGTTCACACTCAATTCTATGCTACTGTTAAGAAAATTCGAAGTGATAATGGGCTTGAGTTTGTCAACAATCAACTTAAAACTTATTTGAATAACAAAGGCATTCTTCATAAGACTACTTGCCCCTACACGCCACAACAAAATGGTGTGGTGGAAAGAAAGCATATGCACCTATTGAATGTTGGTTGATGTCTTGTGCGTCATTCTGGAGTTCCTATTAAATTTTGGGGGGAATGTATAAAAATTGCTGCTTTCTTAATTAATAGAACTCCCTCCAAGATTTTGAAACATCGCACACCTTATGAACTATTATATCACAACCAACCTGATTTACAACATCTTAAAGTTTTTGGTTGCCTGGCTTTTGTCATTGTCCAAAATTCTCATGATAAATTCCTGAAGGGTATTGAAAGACGATGCGCAGCGGAAATCAACTTAAAATTTTAAAACTTTCAATCCCTTGCCCGGATCTACCGATCGCGTTTAAGTCAGGTAGTAAGAAGCATTACCTTCGGTGTTCGATTTCCTGGTGACTCGATGATTCGGCCGTTCAGGATGCTTCTGCTCGCCTCCTTTGTCGTTCGAAGTCGACAACTCCGGTCGGCTTCCTCTACCGGTATCCACACGAGTAGCCCTCAACCTCGAACGGCGTGCTAGCGTCTATGTTCGTCTAGGGTTTTGAAAATCCGTCCTCTCTCCTCACTTTTGGCCGTCCCTTATCTCCTTAGTGCTTTCACTCTCACTCTTCAAACCCTAGCTCCCTAATATCGAATATATAGGATGCTATAGGTATTATGAGTGATATTTTAATTTCAAAATTAATCCCAAATTAATTCCGAAATTAATACAATATCAAATATTGCACAATTAGATAAGAGAACAATTAAATAAATACAGTTTATATTAAATCTGTCTCACAGATTTAATTCACCTATTTATCTAATTCAAAAATAAAGATATGATGGAATTAATTTACATAGATCTAATTTATCCTTATAAATTAAATCTAACAATTAATATCTCTTATATTTATATATAATATATATATACGAATATATATATATATACACGTCCACCCTATTTATTCATTGAATCTGGACATCATAACTCGTGTTGGGCTATTTTGTGTGCGACCCTGTAGGCCCATATGAAGTTGGCAGTGGGCCATTAACTATAATGACTCACAAGTCGTAAGCGGTCTCTAGCAAGACATCACGACTACCCAAAACATATGAGGATCATTGAACGATGCAACCTTTCATACAACCATATCGCGTCCCTTTTGTCACACGACATTTTGGTCATGGACGAGGCATAGAGAACGTCATCCTCCTATTCATGACCGTTACTTTCTCAATCCCTGAGTAGTCTGAGTATAAAAACGGAACTACCTTTCCATTATAGTATGGCCATACATTTCTCAAACTCACTCATCGAGGGGCCCAGTAATGTCTCTCTACGAATGTGAGGGACAAATTCCATCTTGACCATTCACATTCCTCCGCATGAAAAAACCACTAAGCCTGAACATAGTCTTTATGATCACTCGGTCAAAAGTGACTTTTGACTAGGTCAAAGCTAAGCGTTTCTCATGTATGAATCCATGATGATCTCAGGTCAAAGGGCACAGTGACATGGTTTGTATATGAGAGAAGCTTATGACTTAACCCATGCAGCTCTCTCATAGCGGGTCGGTCCAACACCTTGTACTCTTACATGTGCCTATGACTTTAATTTATATCTCTATATATCTTTAAAGTTATACTGGTCTTATTTCATCTTTGCTCCCACATAGATGACCGACCAGGGACATTTAGGATAAACCATGAGTTATCCAAGGATAGTCATCACAGTAAACATGCAAATAATATGATAACGTAATTAATAAATTCATAAATTAACAATATTCAAAACATAATGATTGGCCCCTAGGGCACAATTTCCAACAATTCCAGCCTAGATCTGAACCTTATGTCTTTATGGGTTTTCCTCCAAATCAAAAGGGTTTTCTTCTCTATAACCTCACTACTAAGGCTATGATGGTCAGTAGGCATGTCACTTTTCATGAAACTCAATTTCCTTTTAAAGATTCCATGCCTACTAACCACCAGGGGGTAGTCCTCCCTAAATTGGACCTCTTTTCATATGATTACCATCATCAGTCACACCAATCTAGTTCTGAACCAAATCATATGAATGATCAATTTGGTAGATGGTGACAATCCTGGAAATGAAAAACCCATATATATGGGACGTCATACCTCTGAATCACATAAACACACAGGTGACAAAAGAGCCCCCACATGATTGAATGATTATATTTGTATGACTACAACATATCTGAATGTAACATTTAAGGTAAAATGCAGTATCCAGTCTATGAGTATATGACTTATGCTAATGTTTCTAATGACTATAAAAATTATTTGTTATCTACTGATGCCACTGCTAAGCCTTGTAGCTTTCAAGAGGCAGCAAAGAACCCGAATTGGATGGATGCTAGCAGGGAAGAAGTGAGGGCCTTGGAACAAAATCATGCATAGGAAGTTGTTGATCTTCCCAAGGGTAAGCATGCTATTGGGTGCAAATGGGTGTTTAAGGTAAAATATTATTCTAATAGTAAAGTTGATAGATACAAGGCTAGGCTAGTAGCTAAGGAATACAGTCAACAAGAAAGGGTAGATTATTTTAAAACTTTTTCTCCAGGTGTAAAAGTGGTAACAATAAGAACCATCCTCACACTTGCAGCAATGCGTAGTTGGCATCTCTTTCAAATGGATGTCAACAATGCATTTCTGCAAGGGAATTTGGAGGAGGATGTATATATGAAAATCCCACAAGGATTTGACTGCTTTGGAAAGGATCAGGTTTATAAACTGAACAAATCCTTATATGGTCTTAAACAAGCCTCTTGGCAATGGAATGTCAAGCTTATAGATGCTCTTGTTGAAGGGGGGTTTAGGCAAAGTAAATATGACTACTCCCTATTTATAAAATAAAATTCAAATGAGATCACCCTTGTTTTAGCCTATGTAGATTATTTGGTCATCACTAGAAATAATATTCAAAGAATCATTGAACTTAAAAATCATTTGCATCACAGATTCAAAATCAAGGATTTAGGGGAACTAAAATATTTTTTAGGGCTAGAATTAGCAAGGTAAAAGAAAGGGATTGTTCTTAATTAAAGAAAGTATACTTTAGATCTTATATCTGATATAGGCTTGAGTGGTTCAAAACCATTGAAGGTACCTATGGAAAACAATGTTAAGGTGACTCTTGCAGGAATAGGTGGAGATGAATCAAAGAAAAGAAAGAAGTGGCAGAAGCAAAAGATATTTGCTCAACAGGATCCTCTTATGCATGAACCAGCTGCATATCAAAGACTTGTAAGTAGGTTATGTTATCTAACTACCATCAGGCCTGACATTAATTTTGTTGTACAAGTCTTATGTCAATTTATGAGTGCACCCAGAAAGTCCTATATGGCAGCAGTAGTCCAGGTCGTAAGGTATCTCAAAGGGAATCATGGCCTAGGCATTTTCTTGGATGCAACAAAGTCAAGCAAGCTGAAATGCTACTTGATTCAAATTGGGCCGGCTGCCGAGACACAAGATGATTAGTGATGGGGTATGCAATCAAATGTGGAGGATAATTGCTTTGTTGGAAATCAAAGAAATAGCAAACAATCTCTAAGTCATCCGTTGAGGTAGAATACAGGGTGCTGAGTGCAGCAACATCTGAACTAGTTTGGGTAGCCAAAATGCTTAAAGACTTGAACATGGGAGATCCAGGACTAGTCAAAGTCTTCTACGACAGCAAGGCAGCAAGACATATTGCAAGTAACCCGGTGTTTCATAAGAGGACTAAACACATCGAGATAGATTGTCATTTTGTTAGGAAAATGCTGCATCAAGGTGTTATTGATCTGTGTCATGTCTCTTCTAAAGAGCAATTAGCAGATGTATTTACGAAACCCCTTGGTAGGGAAGATCATAAAAGATTGTTGCGCAAGTTGGGTATTTGACCCCCAACTTGAAGGGGGGGTGTTAGACATATTGGGCCTATACGTGTATTAGGCCTTGGTCCGCATGTATTTATCATTATGTTTCATTGAACCTGGATTACTCTATATATAGAAGGGTCTACCAGTCAATTATTGTTGACTTGGTTTTCTATTTCTCCATATTAGATGTCTATTGGTCTATAATACCCCTTTGGTGTAATGCAGTTTACACTAATCTTATATTTAGAACTAAAAAAGTGTGTGTATAATTAATCCTCTTGTAATATTTTGGAGAATCCTAGGTTGACAGAAAAGAGAGGGTGGTGGGGCCTTTCCTGCTTCAACCTATCCATCAATGTTAAGCATAAATCATACTGTGAAATACTAAGAGAGTTTGATTTAGCAAAAAAAGTTAATTTTTTGTTCAAAACATGACGAACTAATATTTAAATTCTCACTAGAATATGTATTTAGTGTCTGGCAGTTTCTTATTAAAAAAATAATACAATGAAATATGTTTAAGTTATATACTCCATATCGGAAATTTGGAATCAACTCATCTATTTTATTCGGTTGAACATGAATGATGGATAGATAATTTTGTATCGTTTTATAAAATTGAATGATTAATTTAGGGATAGAAAAGTCACTTACGCAACACCAAATTTCAACAAAATGGACTTCTCTGCATTTGGCCTTGGAAAAGCAAGCGATGGACTTTCCTTCCTTTTCTGTGTATCACCACGGAATGATTCCATTAGTAATACATTAGTTCCTTCTCTCATCCTCACCCCCCCTTCATTTATAGTTCCTCCATAAACCTGGAACTTAGAAATGGCAGTCGCCCTGGGATCCGACGTCGTTTCGCAGGATTCTGTACTTGGAATTCCTCTTCTGCACCACGATACGGTGAACGGCGCTGTGGACTACAAAGGCCGGCCGGCGGTCAGATCCAAGTCTGGCTATTGGAGATCAGTGTGGTTCATAATAGGTATTCTCGCACTCGATCTTTATATCTCCTTTTCTCTGTTTAAGTGATTGATTTAATTTGTTGTGTGTATTATTGAAGGTGTGGAAATGGGAGAGAGGATTGCGTACTACGGTGTAGGGTCCAACCTCATCACGTTCTTGACGGGGCCGCTTCAACAGTCCACTGCCACAGCTGCGAAGAATGTGAATATATGGCAAGGAACGGCGTCGTTGCTTCCTCTGTTGGGTGCTTTCATTGCTGATTCCTACGTTGGACGCTATCTCACTATCATTGGAGCTTCTGTTGTCTACATCTTGGTCAGTTCAGTCTCTCACTTTCCTTTTTTTGTTTTTGAATCCTACTTTGGGCTTTGCTATATAACTTGAATCGTTGAAATTGAAATTTATTTTTGCTTTTATCTTTTTTTTTTTAAATTATCTTGATGTTTGTAAAATCTAAAATAAAAATACCCCAATGCGATGAACATAAGCCCAAAGGAAGAGTCTCTTTCAAAAGACTAGCATATTAGGAGAGAGAGTCTCTTGAACTTATAAACTTTACAACACTTATAAGATTTTCCAATTTAAGGCTCATAACACAATAACATGCAAACAGCCAATTTTTAGGTTCTTGATCAGCCCTAGTTAGGCAACGAGAGGAGATTGATGAGCGATTTTGTATTATCTTTGGTTCTTAATATAAAAGTTAGTTTGACATTTACTTTCTAAATATAAAACCATAATTCACCTTATCTCTTATATTTAATTTTTTTAAAGTTGTTCTTATAGTAGTTGCATATATAAAAATTTTATTAAATGGTAGTTCTAGCTAATACATGTGATTAACAAAGGATATTTTAGGAAAAACAACACATATTTAATTACAAATAAATAATTTAACTAATTTTCTTAATATACTCAAATTAGTAGCTAACTCTTATATTAAGGATTAGAGATTGACTTGAATGATATCCATCCAATATTTTATTTAAAAAAATAATTTCTTAATTATCAGATTTTTGAAAAATGATTTTATCTAAATATTTTAGGCACAGACCATTGAAATTATATTTCAATGAATCGTACAAATCTCAAGCACTAAAATTCATTTCGGTTTCGTCAAATACCGCTCCGTGATGAAATTTAGGGTTTAGACGATACAAATTTTACAGAACTAAGTTTATTATTTTAAAAACATGCCAATTATAAAATTATTTTTATTTCAAATTTAATATTTAAAATTTTGTTTAAAACATGAATAAATTTAAATTGAACTTTGACCGTTCAAAATTAATATGAATAGCCCATATTAAGATAAGCATTTCGTGCTCAATTGCTCATCTTAAGAATATTTAAGGAATAAAATTAGAGCTGCACGCGATTTAATAAAATGTCTTAAACATATGGAACGAATGAAAAAATTACAGCAATACTGACTCCTGTGTGAAGATTGCACCTATCCTCTAGACTCGATATTTTATTTATAGTGCGACATATGATGATTATTTTCATTTTTTGTGTAAACTTTGTTCTCTATATATATATATATATATATATATATATGATTATTAATAAGTATTTATAAAATTTAATTGAATTATTTAGATTAAAAAGTTTTGATCTCACTTGATTTTTTTTTTTCCATACCTGATCTTTCTGGAATTTTACCTTAATTCCTTATCTCTGTCCTACCGTGGAGGCATTCCCCATGTTCTTAAAATTTTATATCCACCAAACTTTTAATCCACAGTCTCTGGCCCAAAATAAAAACTTTTAATCCACAGTCACTTAACTTGGTCTGTCTTTTTCTTAACTAAAATGTGCCTGCTTAGCATAAATATTTATCAGTAATATTTTTAACCTACGTTTTATTTTATTTTGACTTTAAATTTAACATTTTTTACTGTATTTATTAGTTTTTAATTTAATATTTGTTGGCACCTATCTGATCTATTTAAATTACATTATGGGGGCAGATTGAAAAATTCAATATCATTTATGAAAATTTTTAGGGAAAATGACAGAAAAATTATTGTTGAATTTGAAAATCCCCAAATAGTCACTTGAATAAAAGAAATTTCTATTTAGATATATGTTATCAAATGGGGATTTCATAATTTGATAGAACTACCATATTACTCTTATGTTTTTTTTTTCAAAAAACAATCTTGAGTCCCCCTCTGCTGGCCACCGGAGCTCTAGCATCGGTGGTTATGCTAGAGTTTAGGTGGGCCGCCAGTCACTGGAACTCCTGCATCATAAAAGTTATTAATATTGTTATATGACTTTATCTTGAAAAGCCTATTGCTAATAGTGATACTGAGCAGTTTAATAATATTAAAAAACTTATTAACTGTGTTACAAGACTTGAAAATTTTCCCATTTATTATGATATGACTAATCTCTAAATGAGTAAATAGCTCTCAGTTCATATGGTTGGCATCATGAGAGTTGTTAATCATGTATGAATGTCAAAAAAAAATCTTAGTTTAAAAAAATCTGAAAAAACATGTGATTAATGACATTTATGGAGTTATAAATATCATGATAAGAGCTGTTAATCACATTACCAATGTTAAAAAAATCTCAATTTAAAAATCTCACTCTTATAACAATATTAACAATTTCATTAACGCATTAACAATTCTCATGATGCCATTAATCATATGATCTGAGAGCTTTTTACACTTTGAGAGATTAGTCATGACATAATAAATAGAAAAATTTTCAAGTCCTATAACGCAGTTAATAAGTTTTTTAATGCTATTAACAAGTTCAGCGTTACCGTTAATTATAGATTTTTCAAAAAATTCAAAAAGTGATATTTTTACAACTTTAATAATGCAGTTAACAAGTCATGTAATAATGTTAGCAACTCTTATAACACCAGAGCTTTGGTGAATGGTGGCCAACCTAAACTATAGCATGGGTCGCTGAAGCCGGGTCTCTCATGGCTAGCCGATGAGGGGGACTTAAGATCAATTTAAAAAAGATCACAAGGACAATGTGATCATTCTATCAAATTATAAGATCCCTATTTGGTCATGTGTGTCTAAAGGGGAATTTCTCTTATTTGGGTAATTGTTTGGGAATTTTCAAATTCAACAATCATTTTTCTGTTATTTTTCAAAATTTTTTAGTAAAATTGGTGATAAATAATATCTATTTGAAAATTTTATTGTCTAAAAAACCTAAATTTGAGCAAATGCAAATTTTTTTGAACTGTATGCAACATATTTGAGACTGGAGAATTTGAAACAATGAAAAGAATGTAAGGAACTTGACGTTAGTATTAATTGTCCTTTATAATATTTAAATTTAAAGTATGATAACCCAAAAAAAAAAATGCATTCCGCAAATTTTGTATGCCCCTTTGGCAACTAACAATAAATATGGATATTTTTATCTTTTTCATTGTCACAGTTTTCTTTTTCTCTATTTAAATTTCATGAGCCGTTTTCTTCTTCTTTTCATAATTGTCGTAACGTGAAAAGGTCAAAAGTAGCATATATTTGGATAAGTTAGCATATTCTTGTGAATTTTGGATAAACTATAAATATTTCATTTTCAATCTTATCAACAATATAATTTTTTTTTTCATGTTTAAAACGTACATCCTTGTCTAGCTTATCGTTTTCAAATGAAATTAAATCAAATTGTAAATATATATGTTTCATTTTCTGAACACATTATTAAAAATAAAAAGTCAATTTTTAGTTTTGAATATGTTCAAGACAAATAATTATGAATTAAATTTAACGAAAACATATATTAAAGAGAATGCATATTTTCCAAGGTTAAAGGAAATCAAATCTCTAGTTATAAGTCCTACTATTTTTAATCCAATTATCTAATATCTAATATCAATTGTTTATGTGTAATTTTTTTTTCTATTCACTGAAATTCAAATATTTTACCTTTCTTAAAAATAGTTTGTATCATTTTTACTTGATCCAACAAAATTCCTAATACAAGTCCTAAATTTCAAATAGAGCGTGAAATGCATGGGTGCCCATGAGCATGTATCTTAAAAATTAATAGATAAAAGTTTGTTAAAATATATTCTTTATCCCATGTCAATTCCTCAAATGAAATCATAATTAAATTAAAAAACTCATTTACTAATGAGAGTTGAGTCTAGTAAAAGATCAGTTTACCATGACGTGGTAAACTCAGATTTGAATTCTCGCTGAAGAAATTTGCATATTTAATGTCACATAATGCCTTAAATAAGATTGCCTCTAATAGGAGGATATCTATGCTTACCATAAAATAAAAAAATCATTTTACCAAATCAGCAATTAAAATAAATTTTAAATTGATGCACAATTTAGTATTTGATAAATCTTCATTATCAATATTTAAATCCATTCCCCATCATTATCTCCGTCATATGCAACAAATATTAAAGACAAAAACGTATGTTCTTAATAGTTAATAGTTAATTATATAAAAATAATATAAATATTACAGAAATGACAAAATATCAGTAAACTGCGATAACTAATCAATTAGCTAATGACGCCAACAAATGTTTGAAAATTATTTGCAAGAAAGCATATGCGTGAGCCAATATTAAAAATTAATTTTCTATCACTCCAGTGACTACAAAAATTATATGCCATCTTTGGAAAATGGAAAAATCACACTTAATATTGAATAGTCTCCCGATACCTCAAGATGTCTAATTCTTAAAGGTTCAATAAATCTTTGTTTCATTCAAATAATGGGAAAAATGATAGATAGGTACCTGGTAACGAAGTTAATGACAGACAAGTTTCTTGAATTAGCAAAATAAAACATAAGGGCTAAGGTTCTTAACTTGAAACATAAGAAAAACAAAAACTTATAAACAAAAAATGTTCGTAATTATATGGTAGCTTAGAAAACTTATATCAATACTAGAAAATGATGAGATGTAAATACTGAACAATTGAGTTATAAATTTTGAAAGAAAAATTTTAAATTATAACGGTACCCATTTTATAAATATGATATTAATCCAATAATTTACAATTAATTTTGTGAAATTTAGAATTCAATTTCACTTCCTATGTGAACTTTTTTGAAAAAATAGTTTTAAATAATTTTTTTTAAGATATACATGTCTATTATTGTTCAGTATTTTAAACATTTTTCTCAAGATCTGTAAAATGTGCTGCACTCTTAATCGAATATCAACATTTTTGTCCGTGATCCCCTTTTCTTTATCACCGAAGTACAGAGCGTGGTTGCTCGAAAGATTAAATACGGAATAGCAGTAATAGGGTATCAGCATGCTTGGTCACTCAAAAAGTTGCTTCTCCATCTTGAATACAATTGTATTTATAGATGAATGAAGCTCAATTATATTTTTGACTCAATGATTTGGTCGTAAAAGACATTACTCGAATGTTGAGATCCATTGCTTTCCTACAATGCAGACTTGTTTTCTTGGAAAATAATAAGAGATTAAGCATTTAGAGTGCTACCAAAAAAAAAAGGGTCTTTTGGCGGCAATGAAGAAGTCACCACCAAAAGTGCCTTTTAGCAATGACAATTTGTTGCCACCAAAAGCCACAAAGAAGTTGCCACTAAAAGTGATGCCCCCCGGGGGGGGGGAGGTCTCATCATCAGCCGACCACCATATTGTTGGCACACCACCACTCTCATACTATGTCACCACCATACGCTGCATCATCATCCAAATTTTTTATCTTAAATGGGTCATTTTCAAGATTTGAACTCGTAATCACATCTTTTTGTGTTCAATCTTCATGCCAATAAGTTGGATTGAATATACTAATTATTATTACAAAATAAAATAATATTATTAAATTATCCTTTCAGTGATGACTTCTATCTTTCAGCATCGATTTGTTATAGTTGCCATTGAAAGTGAAAACTTCAGCGGTGACTATAGAAAGTCACTGCTCAATAGCTATGGTTGAATGTACACCACTAGTCACCATTGAAAGTGAGATCTTCATTGATGACTCTAGAATGTCACCGCTAAATATATACCCATTTGAAGACTTTCATTGATGACAGACAAAGTTAGTGTTGAATGTGAGACATTTAGCGATGACTTTTTTTTTATCATCACCAAAGAGCATACTTTCAGCATTAACTTTTTTTTTTTGTCCTAAAAGAGACATTTAGCAACAACTTTTAGTGGCAACAAAAAAAAGTTCCCTGTTGGGCATACTTTCAGTGGTGACCTGTTTGGTCATTGTTGATTTTTTGTAGTATAGTGAAGTTTCAAAGGATTTGAATAAGTACGGAGCATGTGCAGTTGGTTCAGTAAATCTGATATAGAGTTTTGATACTCAAGAGAACATAACTCCGAGTTGATGATTCTAGTTGACCACTCTAACTTGGCGTAACTATTTGGTCCAAAAAAAAAAAACTTGGTGTAACTTGAGGTTACTTGAACATATCTTCAGATTTATCGAAGGAATCTTATCTTATACTAGTTGACCTGGGTCTTATAAGCCAGTTTATTTGGTGTAATCTATTACATGCATGCATACATACATACATAATTGGAAAGCCAGTTTATTTCTATTTGCTAATCATAAAATTATCTTATCTTATACTCCCTTTGGTCTTTTTTTCACAGTACCTAATAACAACTTTATGTAAATGAATAAAGTTAGCTAAAATTAGTTATCTCTTGTAAAATAAAAAATTTTCCCTCAATGAAGGTTATTTCTTTGAGGAGTTTGTTTAATTAGTTAGTACAGTTTATAGTTAGTTAGAAATTGTAAGTAAAAAAAAAAAATTAATACTTTAGACAAAATATACTATATTAATTAAGAAAGTGTTAAAGTGCAAATTTATCTAATAAGTTTTTATTTAGGAACGCTGGGTATTTAAAATTTTTTTGGATTCAATATTATCTTGAAGTTTAAAATCATAACAATTTTGCCCCCTACTTAAAATGATTAACGGTCAATATCACTATTTTAATGGTAAATGTTAGTTCTTTAACAACATATGGTATATAGTACATGGTATGATATCATAATCAATATTTGCTTATCGATTTGTATTAGTATGTGTGTTAATAGCTACTTACCCTTAACTTTAGCATATTTTAAATTTCAGGGACTAGGCATGTTGACGCTGTCAACCATGCTTCCTTCATGTACTACTTCTACGTTGCAATTTGCAACTAAGTTGGCATCATGTTCTCCAGATAAGTTGCGAGTGATATTATTATTCTTCTCACTTTACCTGGTGGCCATTGGACGAGGAGGTCATAAGCCTTGTCTTCAAGCTTTTGGAGCTGATCAATTTGATAATCATCATCCAGAAGAAAGCAAAGCCAGAAGCTCATTCTTCAATTGGTGGTATTTTACAATGTCTGCGGGCTGCTTGCTCACTCTCTCTTTCTTGAACTACATACAAGAAAACCATGGTTGGCTTCTTGGATTTGGAATCCCTTGTGTTGTAATGCTCATTGCTTTGGTTGTTTTCTTGTTTGGAACTAGCTTCTACAGATTTCAAAATGAAGGGAATAAGAAGAGTCCCTTTGTTAGAATTGGTCGAGTTTTTGCTACAGCTATAAGAAATCGACCAGTTACCTTATCAGGCGTTGTGATCAAAGACGACGAAACTTGTGACATCATCACTCATCAATGTTCCAAACAATTCAAGTAAGGCATTTAAAGATGTGTTAAGATATAAATTTACTCTGAAAGTTTTTACTTGACAGTAATGTCACCTTGGAAGTTCTTTTGGGTTGAATGTTGCCTCGGAAGTTTTAAAATAGAAAAATATTGCCCCTTACTATTAAAAATATTAAAAGTTAATGGTAAGATTTAACAGTCAATATTAGTTTTTTTAAAAATAGAGTGAGACAATATTATTATGTTTTGAAATTCCTAGAGTGACATTGAACCCCAAAAAACTTTCAGGCAATATTAATACTTTCTTGAGCGAAAAATTTTAGGATAAATTTGCACCTTAAGTCTTTAAAGATTCATGCAAAATTACAGTATCAATTGATTGTGGCATATTTAACTAAGTAGTTTTTCATTGTTAATAATGGCAGGTTCTTGGATAAAGCACTGTTTACACCCAAAGGATCTAAAGAAGAGGATGCATGTAGCGTTAGTGAAGTGGAAGAAACAAGAGTTGTACTTAGACTTCTTCCTATTTGGGCTTCAAGTTTGGTGTTTGGTATTATTTATGCTCAAGTTCGAACTTTCTTCACTAAACAAGGGGTTAATATGGATCGAACCATCTTTCCAGGTTTTGTTATACCTGCTGCTTCTTTACAATCCCTTGTCACTTTGGCCATTGTTATTTTCAGCTTCGCCTATGATCGAATATTTGTACCAATGGCAAGAAACATCACTAAGAAACCCTCCGGAATCTCAATGCTACAAAGGATTGGAACTGGAATATTTCTGTCTATAATTACCGTAGTAATGGCAGCTCTTATAGAGATGAAAAGATTGGAAGCAGCTATTAGATTTGACCTGGTTGATAAACCAAATGCAATTATACCAATGAGCGTGTGGTGGCTGATTCCCCAATACTTCTTGTTTGGGGTTGCCGAGGTTTTTACCATGATTGGTCTCCAAGAATTTTTCTATGATCAGATGCCAAATGAACTAAGAAGCATGGGTCTTGCCCTTTACCTAAGTGTAATTGGCATGGCGAGCTTTTTAAGCAGCTTTTTGATCTCTACGATAGAGGAAATAACTAGGAAAGATGGAAAAAGTGGCTGGTTTGATGACAATCTCAATCAAGCACATATGGATTACTTTTATTGGTTACTTGCTGGGCTTAGTGTGATGGGAATGATTTTATTCATCTTCAATGCAAAATCTTATATTTATAATGAAAAAGGAATTATACAGTGATAACATGTTTCACATTTTATCACATATCTATCAAGAAGTGTAGTATATATTGTGTACAGAGTGCTATTGAAGAAAAATAACGCCTCATGTTGAGAAAATTCTGTAAATATTTTTATTCTGTTGATGTAATATAAGAAGGTTTCAAACATCGATGAGAGCAGTTTTATAACTTCTCTCCGTGGAAGCAAATTTTGATGCGGTCCAAATGGTAGAATTTCTCATGGTCCCATTGGAAGATGATCCTTCCTATTCGTTTGAATTTCGGGGTGTGTTTAGCAGCAGAATATCCCATGATGGAAACTTGAAGTCACACAGAAGTGCAAGAAGCCAAAGCAAAGGAAGGACAATGGATAAGGCGGCAGATGAGGGAATGACAACTCCGGCACCCTTGAGGTTCGGTAGCTGACAAGGCCACTGGGAGTGAAGATGACGTGCATATGGGGACTGTTTGATAAATGATCAATGTTATGATTGACTTAATGACCATGACATTTTTGCATCAGTTTCAAAACTTTGTGTATTTTGGTATCATTTCATTGATTGATATGTTTACTAAATAATCAATATTGGTTGACTGAACAACCATAGCCTGTAGATATTTGATAGTTATTTTTTCCCCATATTTGACAGTTGCAAACTGTCAAGCAATGATATGTTGCGAACACTCCATTTTGTCCAACCCGCACATAATATAATGAACACATAAATAAAAAATATATAAAAATGATAAAAATCCTTTTTAATTCTTTCTTACTATTTGGGAAAATCTCCTTTGAAATAAAAGAAAAAAGAACAAATATCATTGATGTTGATTTGTGTCACACCTGAATCCTGGTTATCCCATAAAAAAGAAAGAAAGAGGAATCGTCACTAAAATTTTAAAAGGTTAATTTTGGAAACCTAAAAAAATGCGGCTTATGAAAATCGGATAGGGTTCGGGAGTCGATTGTCTGTGGAGAAGGTGTTAGGCACCCCATGTCACATCTCAAAAAATTTCACCTGGACATAGGGAATTAAAAATTAGGATGAGGGTCAAGGTAGGAACTAAATAGGGAGACGAAACAACTTTTGATTCGAAAAACCGATAAGGTCCGGGATGGCATTTTTGTAACTATCGGTCTAGGAAGGGCAAAACAGGAAAATTTGAGAAAAATTCTAGAAAATCTTTGGAAAATGGGAACAGTGTAGAGTAAAGGTTTTGAAAACTTGGTTGAGGCCCGAAAAGTAGAATTTCAGTGAAAATGATTTATTACGGAATTTCCCGTAAACAGAGGTTTTCCGAGAAAATATTAGAAAATCGAAGGAAAATAATTATTTTACTTAGTTAAAGGTCTCAATATATTTGGTATATTGATGGAAAATTCATCTAACTATTTATTTGAATTTATAAAATTAGTTTTGGTCCTTGAAAGTTCAGAAATTAATTTTAGGGGATTTATTTTCTTGCAATGACATCGATAAAGGTCTAATCGGATAAAATTCAAAAGAAATACCTAAAGGTGACAAAAAATTCTGAAATTTTTCATATCATATTCTCATATTAAAAGGTGAATTATCATGGAGAGAAATAAATTTTTGGAGGTTTGAAAAAATTATGGAAGGTTACTAGTAAATAGTAACCGATAAAATTCCAAATTGGTTTAAGATAGTGATTGGGTTTGTGGATCATCTTTTTAGACCAACCTAAACCATTTGTGGGGCCAAAATTGAGCCCAATAAGAACCCAATTTCGTATACCTTCCAGGTCCCTCCATTTTTATTAAATAAAAAGTGAAAATAAGGGATAAATGGTTGGAAATATCCAGTAAAGGGCCACTTATTCAAATCTAAATATTTTTCACACTTGATGGCTGCCACATACACCTTATTAGGTGTCCAATTTCAGCCAACTGAAGAGGGAAGGAGCAAACTTGAATTTTCCATATATACTCCTTAGAAAATACATGAAAAATGTTAGAAAATTAGGAAAATAAGGGGAGACTCTGTCACTGTTCATCCAACCACCTTGTTCAAAAATCTTGAGATGTTTTATGCAAGAAATCATCCAACATACACTAAGAAAATATTAAGGTATGTCTAAGCATCATTCTCCCTAAGTTTCACATTGATTAAATAAGGATTTTTGTTTGGGAAAATGCTGAAAAATTCTAAAATTTTTAGTTGAGATGTGTGATGCTTAGGAAAGGATAGAAGCCTTAATAATCAAGTGGAATAAGCAAGATTAAGTAGTGCATGGATTGATTTTTGAAAGAAAATCAACCTAAGGTCCTATATGTCATTTTTGGCCAATTACTGTTCATGCTTAAGGAAATTGTTTTGGCTTAATTTTATGATTCCAAGGGCTTTAAAACATGTTTTTGTGTAGGGATATGATCTTGGAAAGCGTTTCAAATCATTGGAATAAAAAATGGAATTTTTGGAGATATATAACCCCTATTCAGCCAGTCACTACTCATGGGGGAAGAGTTTGAAGTTTACAAATCTAATCGCATCATTGTATTCCTCATAAAAAAATTGTGTAGGATTGAGTCCTGAGATAATTGGTTCTAAAGAAGAAATCATTTTGTTAAAAATCAAAGGAAAAGGAGGGAATTTGTTAAGTTAAAGTTTAAGGATTGTATATAAGTTGTTTGGTTAGTAATGTGGCCTATTTTATGCTTGATTTAATAGGCTTTGTGAGAAGAAAGTAAGGAAGATCATTGTCCCTTGAAGTGATCAAATTGGACAAGTAACAAAAGGTAGCATTGAATTATGATTAAAGTGCTTTCTTGCATACATTTATGTATATGTGTGTATGTGCTATGAATGCTATAATGTGACTAAGCTATGCTGCTGAATTATGATTACAATGTTCATGTTGAGCTTGCCTTGGCATTATGTTATGTGAATACCTATGAATCTGCTTACTTTCCATGGCATTTCACTATGCATGAACCATAAAGTTATGTGCACAAAAGCATGTCACATTATGTTTGCATGATTGCATGATAATTATGATTCTTTGTTACTGGGATTTCTTTGAAATCTCATTCCCCTTATGTGTAAAATAACCCTAGGAGGAAGATCAAGCAAGGGCAAGGGCCAGGAAGTAGTGAATGAAGGTGTAAAAGCTTAGCGACATTATTAATGGATATTATGTTAGTTTATGTAATGTTTGGATGTTTTGCATTTGTTGGATAATAGCTCCTTTATGGAGATAAACATGTGTGAACATGTATAAATATGTATAAGTATTCTAGAATGTATGTACAAGTATATTACAAGTCCCAAAAAATTGAAGATGGATAAAAGGTAAAGGAAAGATAAAGTTAGACTTAATTAGGGGATAAAATGTCCCTAAAAAGGGGCCAAACTTGGGACACATGAAATAATAAGCATTTCTATGAGTCCGGACCTGAGATTTGGCAGACTTATAGATTATATTTTTAGTTTTAAATCAAGTGGTAGAACATTGAAAATTCGAAAATTGACTATATGAACAGTGCACTTTGTCGAATTTTCTAATACTGTTATGAATGGAATCGAGTCGAATGAATATTTTTTCTCTATAGAAATCTTAGCAAGCTTCGCGTCAAAAGTAAAACCACCTCGTTTCAATTTTTCTAGAATTAGTTATGAATTTTCAAAGTTGGCCCAATTTCGGATGAACAGTGTACGGACAGAATGAAAAGGAAAATTTTAAAGTTAAAAATTTTCATCCGGAAACACTGTGAAATACGTTATAATGGTTCCAATTGACGTATAATAGGTTATAAAGAGAGGTGTGACACCCCACAACACTCGTTCAAGAGAACGGTTACCCTAAGTCAACTATTCAAAATTAATATGGCTATTTTATCATGTTTTAATTACCTTAAAAAAATAAAGATAGAAGCAAAGGAAAATTTTTAATTACAAAAAGAAAAAATAAATTCTTTTAAAAGATGGATTTGACCTAGGATGAAAAACCTAAGGCCTACATATCCTTTAGAAGGATCAAAGCACACGTAATTTAGGGGTAAAAATGCATGTCACTTGGTTGGTATTTTTTGGACAATATTTATTTAATTAAAAAAGATGTTTTTTTATGGGTTTGTAATTTTTAATATATGAAAAAAATTTCTTTTTATTTAGAAAATATTTTTGAAAGAAATTTTGGATTATCCTCCCTATGGAGATTCCCATAACCTCACACCGGAGAATAATCTTTTAAGCCTGTGAAGGTTCTAAAAACCTCACACGACTCTGAAAAACATTTTGAGATTATACACACACACGTCTATTTAAAAAAGACTTTTTATTTCATTATTCATTTATAAACATGGGGCTAAAATTATTTTTTTTCTCTTTTTATTTCATAAAGACTGTTGCACAACCATATTGGTATTTATACGGAGACTCCCATAGTCTCACACAGTTTACTAATGAATTTAGATACTTGCAGAGGTTCTAAAAACCTCACATAATACAGATTTAAAAAAAAAGAAGCATTTTCAAAAATAGAGAGAAAAAACACCCAAAAACACTTTATCATGAAATTCAAGTTAAGCACAATAGATAAAAATGGAAGTCCATACTTGATGCTCCACTTATCAATTGTCTTACCTCCTTTTTCACCAAAAAAATCATGAGTTTTCCTCCAACCCTTATTCTCCTATTTATAGGCTCTATCTAGGCTTTTGCAATTTTTCTTTAAATTTGTTTTTTAAATTTTCCCAATTATGACTCATAATATAACTTCCTATTTAAGCACCAAATCATCATCAAATTGTGATTTTTTATTTTTATTTTTGTTTTTTAAAATTTTCACAATTATGATTCTAAAAGATATTTCTAAATTGAGGAGTCAATCATCTTAAATGATAATTTTCAATTTTGATTTTTGAATTTTCTTATTTTCTTTTTTTTTTAAAGACTCTAGCCTGTATTTCTTAATTTGGAGGTCAACTGGCTTTTAATTCTTATCTTTTATTTTATTGCCATTTATTGTAAGAGGGATATTCTTATTTAATTTTCCTCTTTCGTTTTGCCACATGATGGATTTCTCAAACTTAGCTTCCAAGAAAGAATCAAGAAG